GTCAACTGGTGCAACTACATGGAAAACGTCCAAAAATAAATGAAATATTTCATCTCTCCTCCAAGAGACTTCTTCAGTCTGAGTTTCAGGTGAACTGGAAAACTTTAAAATCCAAGCTCTTATTTTGAAGGGAAAATACTAGTTTCCTGTTCCCCGTGCTTTCGTTTCCCGTCAGTCCGTCATGTACCCAGAATGCATCGCTTCAGTTCTCCAATAAACAGTTTTAAAATTACTTTATCGTTGCTTCTTTAATGAAAAACTACAACAAACAAAAGAAAAAGACAAAGAAGCAGYCGAACTAGCAATCCTCAACAACTTTTTAATTTTTACACCAGGACCTAAAGGTCTGTTTCAGGAAATCACATCCCCAGCAATCAGTGGTTGTAGAATTAAGTTGTAGAAGAGTTCATACACCACTAGTTGGCAGTGTTGTACATATATTGCACATGAATTATTGCCAGTTAGTAAGTGTCAAATAGAACCAGCACTCAAAAATTAGCTTCCGCTAATTTTTCTATGGCATAAGCGCTTTTGAAGTTGCGGACCTAAATATTTTCATAAGCACTTTAGAAATTGCAGAGCTAATTTTTGGATTAGCGCTGCCCACCACTGGTTCTTAGGGCACATACTGTATGACATCAAATTTTTATGATAAATGAGATGCAGCATTAGAAAGATAACCTATCGTATCAACACTTTCCTAAAATAATTGCCCAAGTCATATTGTCAGGTTTTTCAGGAATCCCACACATTTGTGTTTCCTGAAAAACATGAAAATAAATGTCCTAAGTGATTATTTTAGGAAGATGTTGATATTGTGAGTAAACCATTCACACAGCTGCAGTAGTTAAGAGATTGACATGGAACAGGACGTGAAGGCAAAGAGGAGTGCCTGGATGTAAACTGAGCAGTGCTGGCTAACAACAGACACWGCAGCAGAATCTCATCTTTAGATCATTTTAAGTCACTCATTTATAGAGACCAAGTGTCAGTTTGTATAAACAAAGTCCATGGAGTTCCCCTTTTTAAAAAGTTCATTTTTGTTGTCACTTTCTGTTTCACGCTGGCTGTGCCAATTAAAAATAAAATGCAGTTATATGACGGTGATCTAGTGGAGTAGTGAGGCAGCAGCAGCAGAGAGGCCCAGACTTCATTCTCCACTAGCTTCTCTGGTGAATCCTGAGTAGAGACTTTCTTCGGCCAGCCTAAGTCCTGTGCTGGGTCTTCCTCTGGGTCTCCTCCTGGTTAAACTACCGTATTTATTCAAGTATAATGCATACAGTTTAATCCATAAAATCATCCATAAAGTTGGGGGATAGTATTATACTAGGATAAATATTTTTACTTATGTATTTTAACTGAAATATCGGCAAACTTATTGAGTCCAGAAATGAGACCGCGTTGTAAAAATCAGTTGAAACGAGCTCACCTGTGACACTCCTCTGTGCTTCAGAGTGAGATAATAACAGATCCATCAGGAGACATGATGTGAAAAAAGGGTAAAAAGTATTCCTGCAGCTCAGTTATGATAACAAACTAATGACATTAGTGTGTGACCGAGCCGCTCCTCGAACAACAACAAACACATGTTCATCTGTAATGGCTGCCRTCTACCGGTGTTCTGAAAAAGTTTGTATCCCTGAAAAAAGTTTCCCCACCAGAGGGGGCGCTCGCGAGTAGGAAGTAATCTGCTTTTCTCCCACAAGATGGCCCAAATCTGAAGTCTCTGATTTTGTGTTGGCGCCTCCTGGTGGAC